ATTATATTTTACAGTACCAGTGCCATGTGCTATATTCTATCAATGGTCAGTTTGATATATTTTTAAATAGTGCGCAAATATCCTTACTTCTAAAGTGCGCTTCCAGAAGTGACATAGGCCCCCAACGTTGAGTTCTAGATAGAAAGCTAGATAGAAACTTTATTTATAGACGGTAAACACTGAATAGTATACAATACCGTTAAACCAATGGTCCTCAAGTGCCTCTTTATTATTCAATAACAATTTTTAAATGAAGTACAATAAACGTTGTCTAATAATCATTTGTTTGGAAAGTGCGCACCTAGAAATTTCACACACACAGTCAAGTGCGTCAGTAGTATTTTGATTCCATTTTTGAATAATCTATTATGTCTAATAATTATTTTCTTAATATTCAATCATTTATTAGAAAAGTGCGCACCTAGAAATTACTCACACACAGTCAAGTGCGTCAATAGTATTTTAGTACCATTTTTGAAAAATGCGCAACCACCCATTATGTCTAATATTTATTTTATTAATATTCCATCATTTATTAGACAAGTGCGCACCTAGAAATTACTCACTTACAGTCAAGTACGTCAATAGTATTTAATACCATTTTTGAATAGTGCGCAATTACCTCTTATGTCTAATAATTATTTTTATCAATATTCGATCATTTATTAGAAAAGTGCGCACGTGCGTCAAGTGCGTCAATAGTATTTTAATACCATTTTTGGATAGTGCGCAATTACCTCTTATGTCTAATAATTATTTTTATCAATATTCGATCATTTATTAGAAAAGTGCGCAGTGCGTCAAGTGCGTCAATATTATTTTAATACCAATTTTGAATAGTGCGCAATCACCCATTATGTCTAATAGTTATTTATTAATATTCAATCATTTATTTGGAGAGTTCGCACCTAGAATTTACCCAAATATTGTCAAGCCGGCGTCAATATTGAATTCGGAAGTATCATCTTTTCAGGATTTTTATTTTCATTTTTAATCCTAAAAGTAAATGTTCATAGATCAATGTGGAACCAATAAATCCAAAGCTTGCTACTTTTAGCTTAAGTAGACTAAGAATAATGGAATCAACTGACTTGTGTTCTCAAAGAGCATCCGATAGATACTTCAATGCTTTGACATATCATCAAGTTAGTAGCAGATGAACAGGCTTGCCTTTCTCATTTAAATCCCACAACTGTTATAAAAACGAGCACTACTTGAAACTGTACTTTTTAGATCAATTTATCCATTGCAGCGCAAATTGACTTGAGCAGGTGAATGCTTTGAATAGCCACTTTAGTGTTCAAATGACTATATATACACGGTTAAAGCGTAGTAGCCACTTGCAAATTGTGATTTGTTGAAGGTTCTGAAGAGCTTTCCAAAATATGGAAGATTATGATACCTTGAAGAACTCCTGATTACTTTGGACTTATTTATAGATTACATTCTGAGTTTTATTCAAAGAAGCTCGCATCCATCATATTTATTGACAGGATATTTATTTGAAACCATTCTAGAATATTCCTACTTTTGCACATTGCTCATTCTTCTTTATTACGTTATTTATATTCTCGACATTAATATTTTTGGCGAATTCCCAAATTTTTCAGATTGGACGTTAGTGGTAAAAATAAGCTATTATTTATGTAATTACTAGACTTCGGAAGTAATTCTAAGTTTTGCACAATTATACTTTGCGCACATCATCGCTTGGCAGAATATTTATGTGAAACCATGGCCGTTGTGAAGTATGTCTATTTTTCTCGTTCTTTTCCTATTTTATTTATATTTTCCCTAATTTCATTAGGTGAGGCAGATTGAACGTTAGTATTACATACAAGAGTTCTAATTGATGTAATTACTACACTTCAGAAAGAAACCGTTGAATACAGCAAGTACTGAGCGGAGCCCGGTTATTGAGAGATGAAAAACCTTAGTATTACTTTATTTATTTATAATTATTGGCATAGAATAGTCAAACATGTTATTGGTGGAGAGGAGTTATGGTGTTTACTAGGCTATGATGTGCCTACTCCTCCTCGTCCCCGCCCCCCTCCCCCCCCCCCTTCCATGTAATGACTTGACCTCCCTTTCGCAAAACACTGTATTTACGTAACATTCCAATCTTGCTCTCTTTTTACTGCGCTTGCACGCAGTAAGAAATAAGGGTGAGCTAGCGAGATGGTAACTTTTCATGCGCATTCAGTCGAGGGTCAAATTAGCCGGTTTAAAGGACCAAGCACCCCTGCATCAATTCCGGCACACCTTCACTTGAAATCTCTACAAGGTAGCAGTATCCAAGATTACACTGCTCATTAATTATAATTATTATTAAGATTACCACTTTCTATGAATAAACTATTTTTTTACCATAGTATATTTTTTTCAAAATCTCGAAATCTGAAGCTTGCGATTCCGATTCCGCATACACGAGTGAGAGCCTATCGACTGATCTGGTATCAACTTATCCTGCGTACGCAGGCTATATACGCCCTCTGCATATGTTTACAAACCATCGTTACGGTCCAAATTTACAGATCCTTGCGCATCGAATATTTCCTTTCTATAGCAGCTAAGGAAAGACAGTCTCTTGCCTTATAGAATAAATTATTTAGTGTTGTAAATAATCACCCACGCATTCCCATTCAGTTTTGATTGTCTAATGGACACAAGATTGGCATGATTCCGAGTTGCTTTATTCTTGTCCGCAAATGTGGGCCAGAGGTCAAGAAAACAATACGCATTACAAGCGCCGATAGATTTAGCGATTTAGATGTCGTTCCGTGCGCTTGCGGAGATCGACCTGCAACAAAGAGTGCTTCTCAAAATAGAAACCACTTAAATTCTAAGTTGTATTTAGTAATCCCTTATAATAGTACTGCGGGATTATGTATTATCCTTGAGGGATTTGATTATGCTGTAAAACCAGTCTGAGTGTAAGGCAAGGGTGCAGGAGGGTAAATCATGTCTAAGGGAACAAGAAGAGAGCTGTACCCCTTGAGCATCGTGAGCCGGGTCATGTTGAACTTAGGAATGTATCTGGGATAAATGGTGCGCGAAACGTGAACATCAGAACATTCTCCCCTCGCGCGGCGTGGAAATAGAACCTCGCATGTCTTTTACTAGCGCAATTACACGTAATCAAAATTCCAGACAAGAAAAGACTTGAGGTCAAGAAGGAACATGCATCTCTCCATTGTGTCTGAAATATTTTATAATCAAAACTATATGTTTGGGATTTTTGGAGTTCCATTATCGGCCTAATGCAAACCGGACAACCTCTTTTATTCGCAAATGAGTTTAATTTTCCTGTAGCAATATTTCAATATATCCTTAATTCATTTCACCTCCGGTCTTCGGCGCGCGTTTCAGTTTGACCGAATATAATTTTAACTCGTTTTAGTTCTTTCTTTTTTTTTTTTTTTCATTTCGACTTGAGCCCCTATTGCGATTGTTTTTCTTATCATGAAACATCAGGAATCTATTTGATTACTCTATTGTTACTAGCTTTACGGGTCAAGTGTCAGTCATGTCGACAAAGAAGGGGGGGAGGGCAGGGGGATTGGGCGGGTGAGCTAAGAAGCATAAAGTTGAATTGCCATTCCAATTTATAATTATTTCTATACGATGTTAGCTATCTTAGAAATTCAAAATCAGAAATTAAATTAAAAGTAATGATAAAGCGGGCCGCATCCGATCATCCACAAAATAGTGGTTGTAAATCCAAACTTTCCACCCCTCCCCTCGCCATTTATATTTTGTCCTCAAATTCATAATTTATCTCAGTAACTCTGTGAGTATTATGTGAACCTGGAGTATGTATTCATCTAATATAGTCTTTATAGAAGGTTTTTATCTAAAATTGTATATTAGTATTTCCCGACAACCATCTAAATATAAATGTCCGCGCATTCAAGTGATCTCTCACTATCCCAGACCAGTTTTCTGATGCAATTTCAGTCCCATCTTTCCTCCAAGCAAATCGCGCCTGCATGTCCTCACATGACTTCTATTTACTCACATGACTTCTATTTACTCAGACAGGTCAGAAATCATTTGGCGCCACCGCCATTTTTCCATTCGAATTTCTCACTCTCTCCGGACTTGAACCGACAAAATACCTGAAAATATTTATTCACCTTTTAAAAATAGCCTTGTTATCTATCAGACTGGCTTTATTTACTACTGCTTAAAAACAACCTTGTTATTGTGGAGAGAAACTACTTTTTGAATAATTTATTTCTTACCTGCAATATATTTTGGACCCGTACGGACCGTCTTTTACGAAACAAATACAATAATCGAACTGCAAAGATGAGAAAAATACATAATTTTCCTTCGAAAGTGGACTAAAAAGTTGTATACTTTTGTAATTCAAGTAAAATCGTTGATTTTTCCTACCAAAACATCCATATTTGCAGTGAGAATAGCTTCTAAGTAATTCAACACGAGGTCGTCAAACCGGTTTTTACCGGTTATTGACGTGTTTATTTTCGCCATCTTTGAATTTAGTGGGACGTGACCAAGACGAAATCCTTGGTGTATGAAGTCTTTAGCAAAATACTAAGACTTTTCTTTAATCCTCACGAAATCTGAGAAAAAACCGTCACGATAGAAAGAAATTTTGTAAGTTTGGGAGCTTGCAAACGAAATAAACTGCGCCAAACACTCTCACTCCTCTCGCCCTCGCTTGAAATTCTACCTCAGCATGAAATATAATTCCACACAGATTGAGTGCGGCTGATCGAAATAACATCTCTTAAACTCAGAACTCCAGAATTTTGCCTCCAAAAAGCTTCAAACATTATTTATAAAAAGAAATGCCATATCGAAAGCCATTCGGGAAATATTTTGGATGTTAATTGCAGAAATACGTTTCAGAAATACATTTCATAAGTTGTTAATTTCATCACAGTAAACGAGCCACTTTTTCCTTGAAAATAGTTTATTTTAAATAACTATTCTTATTCAAGTTTACAACGTATGCATAAGTAGATATATTTTTCTTTCATTTATGCAATAAATAAAGATATTTGATCTTAAATTGTTTTACATTTGCGGTGGTAATTTAGCAGATCGTGTTTCATCTGCCGATCTCGTATTGGGTTTGCAGGGCGAGCTCTGAGCTCGGTGTTTCTAAACTTAAAAAAATTGTCAACAAAATATAATCACTGTCGTAGCTACATATAGTTGTTCTCAGGCTACCGAAAGATTATAAATTCATTTGAATCGATCTTAACTAGCAATGTGCTTTGTGAACAGATTGTGTTAAGTGAAAATCACTCAAGCTGTCATTAATGATGAAGCTAAAGTTAGAGTTCTCTAAACTAAGAATCCTTGCCTTTTTTTCAATTGACAACAGCTAACAACTGTTATAGAGCCATAATTCTCCAAGTTTTTAAATAAAGGAGAAGTAACGTTCAGTTCTTATGAAGTTTTTCTGTGTTCTTGCGACGCATGATTGTTGACACGTCTTGACTTCCCAACTAGCGGTAATCCAAGAAGACCTTCGAACTTGAACATTTTTTGGACAACTTCTCGCTTGCTCTTGCTGTTCAGTCTTATATATTGTGGGAAGATTGAACATAAGTTATCTTTGAGTCCTTACAGCAAAAAATTGCCGAACTTGCTTGAAAGGATAACTATTCTTGCGAGCTTGCACTTTTGAAGTTGTGGAGCGGACTGTCTTGTCCGAGTTAAAGGCGAAAAGATTTCGCCAAGTGATGCGTTTTTCAGCACGGTAAATCCATGATGCTCAACATCGTTGATCAGCTTTAATAAGCATTTTCAAGTTCAGTTTAAGTGGATGCTTTTTCTCGCTTGAGGTAGTGGCGATGGCGAAAACGACGACCATCTTCAACACTCGAACGGGAACCTCCTTCAAGTGCTCTTTCGCGATGTTTTGACAAGAGATTTTTCTCCTTTCTCCCCAACCTCAGTGGGTCGATTTCAATCTCTTTTTCTTCATCAATGTTCTCAAGAGAAGGCTCAAAATAAGTAGAGGGAAACCTGTACTTCTTCTTCCCCTTTAGCCTTCTGCGATGATGTTTACGTCTTGCTCGAGGACTTGGGCTTCTTGTTCGGGTCTCCGGCATCGAGCTGCTCAAGTATTCAAAAGCTTTGCTCTGGCCGTATTTGAAATCGAAATCAAATCCCTTGTCCAACGCATAGTCAGTCATTGAGACTGGGCTCTCAGAAACAGCTTGTTCCTTGAGTCTTTCGAGACACATGTTTATGCTTTCTTGTAAAATTCGCTTGATATAAATCCGTAATATTCACAGCTCTGATGTCTGATGAGAATGAGAAGCGTATGGTAATGAAGGGCTTTTATAGGCACGTCCACCAGAAACTGTGGACGTGATGTGCGAGCATTCAAAAACATCAATCATTCATTGCCTTATATATTCGACCAATCAGAGCGCACATGAATGATAACCTCTGACAGTGTTGATAATCAAACAGCGAGGGTCTTCGAATTCGCTTTCACAGTTCTGCTCTAAAAATTCACTTCTAAATTCACTATAATTTCGACTTTTACTTCGATAATCAAATTATTACATTCATACTTAGTGATCAATGTACATTTCAGGGTTGATTTCAACAGAAAGAAGCCAATAATGTGCTCATAAACATACGAACGTGCTTTAGAGATGAAACTAAACACGTTGGGTTCACTTGCTCTGTTGACATATGAGAATGATTGGCAGATGTAATTTAAGCCAATCGTTCCCTCCTATCGTCTAATTACCATATGAACATAACATGTCCGGGCAAAGCGCTCCATGGGCAAGTTTGACTATAATACCGATTGAAAATTATCAAAATTTCTTAAATATCTTTTCTGTTTCGAAATTCCCAAGAAAAAGATTTTTCAAAAGGCGCTTAAGATTATTCTTACGAATTTTCTGAAGAATTTAATAAAATTGAATCGATTGCATGCATTTCTTTATAGAATTTAGCTTACGTGGTTAAAATTCACGAAACATGTTCGAAGTATGGACGTGAGGAAAGAAATTTCGAGGTAAACGTGACTGATTTAAAAAAAAACAACTGAGGTGATGCTTAGTAAACGCAGTTTATTCACCCAGTCACGATTGACCGAGTTGTCATCACGCTTCATGAATGTGAAAAACGACTAGATATATCAGTATTTTGTTTTCTTGAACTATGAACACTTTCCACTTGTGCATAAACAACTTTGTCAAAATGGGTCCTTTTTGTGCTTGTATACCGAGAACTGTTGTAATTTGGCTTATTCTAACTAGTCTTTTAATCAGTTGAGCGATAGTTCCATTGTTTCCCTGGCTTCGCCGCTACAATAGTTGATTACGTCAAGCTTTGGTATGACGTCAGAAGGTGTTGGATGGGAGGGTCCGTTGGGCTACCTTTTATGGAAGTCAATGGCGGACAATTTTTTTCCTATTCAGTGACTCTAGACCAATATCTAAAATGCTGTTTTGTAAAGCACATGTTATGGTAATCCCATTAAATTTATTAAATTTTCTTAAACATTTATTCTTTTGAGGACAAATGATATTGATAACTGGCTATTGAAGGATTTGTTGGGAACCATTTAAGTGCTTCCAAGAGACTTTGACAACTAAATGGCTTCTTTACATTTTTTACGCTTTTTTCTTTAAAATCAATATCAATTGAGTTTTAGCAAAAATAATTTTGAAAACAATCTCGAGATAGGAAAGTTATAGCATGCTTGAAATATTTTTAGCAGTGAAACAAAACAACCACTTTTCTGAAATCAGTTAAAATAGATATGACAATTGTTTTGCTTAACTCTCTGTTTGATACCGACCCAAAGCCTCTTCACAATGTTTTCGACAGTGAAAATTATACATTCACCTCACGTAGCAAAGGATATGGTACACAAACTAACCAATCACGAAACAGAATCGATACCTAGCCAATATACCATTATACTTTATTAAAAACCTAACACGCCGGTTCCAAAGTTATGAGGTCCTTCGAGTAATCTTTTAATGTTATGGTCTCTATCTCTTCCTCTATTCATATTTTTATTATTATTATGTTTTCTTTTCTTGTGATATATATATTTTTTCATGTTCTTTTAGGTTCTTGGTCGCCAGATTTTGTTGTTTTTTTTTTTCAGTCGAAGAGATTGATAGATCTCTGCAATCTGACGGAAGTGAGCGAGGGCGTAGGATGAACCTCGAACAAAAGCCAGGTCGATACAGTTCATTTCATATAATCAAAGAACTAAACCATTTATTACTACCAAAACACCAAACTTAACATAATAAAACACTTTGAAAAAAACGCACTGTATTAATTATATCTAAGGTTTTGTTTACTTCACTTTATAACTTTTGTCCGATAAACTAAATTGATCCATCGCCGTTTGTACCTCCCTTTTCAAAGTGCTTCCTGTCAACTAAAGATTAGATTGTTATTCTTCTAAATACAAATTGCGGAGGAATTTTTTTTCCACATTTTTTTTTTAGAATGATTTAGAAACACAAGGTTACTTCTCTGCAGATTTTATTGTATTGTTTTGCCAAGTGAATTTGAGTACAAGACATGGCCTAGTAAACTATTATAGACTTTAGTGTCCTAGTCAGTTAGCTGTCATTTTCTTGTTTTCATATATCGCCTATCTAATCTAATCACTATTCCAATAGTAGTTGCTCGTCACGTCCTGTTTTTTTCCATACATTGTACTTGACCAGGATGTGTTTTTCGACTCTTGTTTGATCTAACCGCATACCAAACTCTCAAAACATTTCCAATTGCTTCGATTGATTCGCAAACTCAAAGTAATTTGCCTTCAGTTATCTTAAAGTGTTATCTGCAATACCGAAATGATTAGGAGATAGGTTCCTTATTTTGATTGCTTAGTATGGAGCTTTATTTTCCAATGGACGTGGAACAATAGTGGATGTGAACTAGACGTGATTATTTTGTGACCCATTTGCGGTGATGGACGTCCTGTCAATTAGATAATCCCAACTTTTCACCCTTCCTAAACATGGTTCGCTTAACGTGTCAATCAATTTGCAGCATAGTTAACTATGTTTGCAGCTATTAACACACGTCCCACACTTATTTTCCACCACGAAAACTTCATGAATAAATTTTGATTTCAAAATGGTGAGAAACATGTGAATGAACTACCTTAGTGTTTTCTCTTGTTCAGTCAGTTTTTATTTTTTCAGAAACACTCGCATGCGCTTTCTTGAATTTTTCATGTCAAACCATCCAATCCCTGGCCATATTACTACTTTTAGCAAAACCTCTTGAGCTCCAGTTTAATTTCGACACGTATAGCAAACCTAGTAAGACAAGGATTTTTCCACAGAGGTTAAAGGTTTGGCGTGTTATTGAGCCTGAAAGTTTTCCTGGCGCCAGTCAGCTCTGCTGGACATGTGCCCTGTGGGGAGATAATGTATGCTAAATCGCCAGCTACTCAGGAAACGATCCCTTTTTGTTGTTCATCCTTTGAGTATTAGTAGTCTTGCGGCATTCTAATATTTTATTCTTTTCTTAATACGTGGACACATAAAAATATGCTTGGCTATTACAAGAATATTTTGACAACGTTTTTTTAAGAGAGGGAGCCCTCAGTCTTCCTCGTTTTGGATTTTTGGATTTTTAGATTAATATGTTCAACATTCATATATAATGAACGTAGAAGGCAAATGTTAGCAGTATAGAATTAATGGTTTTGAGAACAGGATGTACTTTATACCGGTAATCCTAGGCGAACGATTAGTAGGAAAACTGCGGAAATCGGTGCTGGGAACTATTCTCGGTTTTCACGTGACGTCACGAGCGGATTAAAACTTAGTGTCCGCCATATTGGTGCACAGGAAGCTCATTAGCATATGTCAAATCACACACGTGCGCTTATGTTTTGATTCGAATTATGCGATGTCCGAGGATTTACTCGTCGATATTTCAAAAAACGAAACCCAA